CCCCCATTTGTGGGGCAAAAGCCATTCAGTAGTCGGGACTTCGGTATTTCCAAGATATGCTTGTTTGCATATCTGTGCGCGTTAACTTAATGCATGTTTGTGTGCGTTTTACTGGTGGGAGGCTCCTTGCTGTGGCTTTAAAACCAGGTATGGGTTGGTGCGCAGGTGTAGCTTACGCTTCTCTGGTTATTCATGCACCCTGGCGTTGCCTTTGAATTACTCGGAGCCTTACTCTTTTATGCAAATGTGGCAATAGGAGAGGCAAGTATTCTTAAGTCAAAACCACATCTTGTCCAAATTAGTTTGCATCTATGTTTATTTTTGCCTTGCTCTTCTAGAAGGAGGCTTCTAGCTTTTTAATGAACCAAATAACGATGGCTGGCAGACACTGTAGTTCTCTTACATCCCCTTGTTAGGGGAAGAATCTGAGTGGAAAGTATTAATTTGTGTGTTTTCTTCCAGTGTTTCTAATTCTGGCATGTCTCCATTCTTCCAGAGGCTATAGTTCTCTCTCTGCAATGTTAATATACAACGTATGTTAGGTGAAGCAAGATGGTTCTTAGAAAATGTGCTGATGGTAGTTACTGATTAAACGTGTACCTTGTCTTCTGGGCTGAAGTGTTGCATTTAAGATGATTGTGTAACATCATTGTGTAAAGCATATGGCTGTGCCATATTTGTGTTACAGGCCAATGTGAATCAAAAAGCCTTAAATCTTTAGTTGTACTGCATGGTTTAAGAAGATACCTTTGTTTGGGCAATTAAATTTAGGTAAGAAGCACCTACTTGCATGTAGCTGGCTACAAAATTGCTATGCAAATTCAGAATAGAATACTGTTGTCATTGTCATTCTTCCTTGTCTGACTCCCTACCCCCAAAAATAGATGTACGCTCACAGTTTGGTTCACCGATGGTTGCCTTCAGCACTAGCATCTGGACTTAATGCATCTCAGTGCAAACTCAGAGCCATTAGTTTGTGTTTAACTGCTGGTTTGCAGCAGGAGGTGCTGGTCCATTACAGTCCCGATAAGAAGGGCACTCAGACTCTGTAAAGTATCATCTCAAATACTATTTGTTAGAGTTAACCCTATAAAGAAAGAGGATAGCATTGATAATCTTACATCCCTTCAGGTGCTGGGAACCCTGAGTTGTGCAGTGTTGAACAGACCTCCTCTGATTCATGTGCAGCATGTTGTGCAGACCCTGTCCATAGAAAGGGTTACCCCGTTTCAGTCACTTGAGCTTTTAGGGGTTTTCTTACAAGAAAACAACTCTATTCATCATTTCTACTGTCAAAACAGAAAGGATGCTCGCATGAGAACTTCCTGCTTTTTAGATAAAGGCAAGGACATGTAGGTGGCGTAATCGCAGGTACCAAGTAGGAGCTGCTTGCAAGCTCCCCTGTTACAACTCGCTGCTGAGCTTATCCTGCAGCCATGGGTTGTGCATCTTACAGCACAGCCCTGAAGGCCACACTGTACATGAAGTGCAGCAGAAGACAAGCCTGGACTTGCTCAGATTAAATGTTACGTGGATCACCAGCTCCTTGCTGTACAATAGCCTTCGGGTCAGGATTGCTCCAACTGCTCTGCTGTGTCTCTCTGTAAAACAAGCAAGCTGTTTGGTGTCTGCTGTAAATCTACAAAAATATGGCTTGAGAAGCTAAGCAAGAAATTGAAAATATAAACTTCCTGTGTGAACACATCCATCAGCTGGGACTTAATTATCTGAGGAAAACGATAACTCGGAGAAGGCAGAGCTATTTTGGGATGGTATGCTGTGTGAATGCTCTGCTTTGAAAACATCCATTCCTCCTACATAGTCAGCCATTCAATTCAACCAACATTGCATGCTGCCACTCTTGGGTTTGGGTTTTTTTTTTTAAACAAATAACTTCAATGCATTTGGACACAGCTGAATTTGGGAAGTAACTTCCTCAGCTTCTGCTGAAATCAGCTGGCCAGCTTTGGAGCTCATCCTGAATGCGGTTTCTTTTTAACAGTTTGACCAGAACTGTGGACTGTGAGGATGTTGGGACACACTGTAAAACCTTCCTTTTTTTATAAAAAGCTTTGCCACTGTGAGCAGATTGCTGTTTGCAGCAGCTATAAAGCCAGCAACAGGTAATCGACGATCCTGCTGGACCTTTGTTCTCTTGAATTTCACAGGGAAAATGCTTGGATATCACAGTGCTAAAGAAGCCTAGGCTCAAAGTGACAACTGACCTTGCATAATCTTTTCATTCTCCCTTTAGTAACAGAAGAACGCTATTCATCTGTGAATTTGTCCTAAATCAGGTGTGTGACACGTTCTATAATAGCAATGCTAGCTATTGCATGCTGTTTGTACTTGAAATGCATCTTATGAAAGAGTTGAGCTCTTAGTCTTGAATTTCCATCAGAGTCTACATACAGACTTTGGCAGTATGGGAACGAGGAATCTTTCAGCTCTTTAAAAGATAGTGTCCCTTTCTGAATGAGCAGGAAGACAAAGGTATTCTGGGATTCAAAACATATAAATATGTAAGGACCTACCGCATTATAGCTCACTTTGCATGCAGTTATTTCTAGTTTTATGTCAGAATGATTAAAAAAAAAATTTATATATGCACCAGTTTTATGTTACCTGTGTACTGAGGTGTTACTTCCTAGTGTCCACCTTTGAAGGTGCCTCCATTTTGTCCTCTCTGCTAGCCCTGACTTCACATCAGAGAGGGTTTTTTTTAGTATTTAAAAAAACCCAAAAAACATCTTCTCCTTTGGTAGCATTTGCCTCTTGCAGGTATATAACAATTCATAAACAATTATGCTTGTTGCAAAGGAAGCCAAAATGTTTCTGGTTTTCTTCACAATGCCAGACAGTCTTGATAATGAGCTGTAGTTCAGCTCTGAGTTGGTGAAAATTGGGATTTGAGGATGACAAAGCACATACCTGGCATACAAAGATGGGACTGATCCTCTGGCAGTGATGTTCTTTGGAGCATTATTTTTTTATTTTTGTTTTTCTGGGCTATGCCTTCATAAATGCCTTTACTGTTTGCTCCTAATCAAAACCCTACCTGTGTCAGGTCTTCAAACCTTAACCTGCACCAGCTGTTTCTGACGAAATGTATTTATCCCCAACTGCAGTGGTAATTAGAGCTTGGTTACTGAGCCAGCTGGTAGTGAGTTGGTAAAAGAGAAAGGCTTAGTGCAGAAGTCCTATGGAATTACTGTACACCAAGGGCAGACAAACATCTCTTGCTCCCTTCTGCCTCATCGATGCTTACTGCTGATTTAAAAAAAAGGAAAAAATAAAAAACATGTTTTCACCTGAGTTTCTCTATTAATTGTATGTTATTGCAGCATGCATCTTTTTGTACTTCTCAACTCTGAGAAATCTTAAACCTGTGCATTGTAAAGGAGAAAAGAGAATAAGAAGGAAGAGGAGAAAAGGAGCTCCTTTTCTAGTCTTTCCAGGGTAGCTATTCATCTCCTTTATACCAGTAAAAATTGTAAAGAACCTAGTTCCTCTTTATGTGGAGGACCTTTATCGTCATTATCATGAGGACCTCTATGATTTTTTCTTTTTTTTCCATAGAAAAGGTAAATTGTTGCAACTTACTGAATCACTGCAAAACTCAGTTTGTTCTTGTTCTTTTTTAGGCAAAAATGTCTGCAGCATGCGACTTCGTTGCACTCCAGACTGGGCAGAAGATGCCTCTCATAGGACTGGGAACTTGGAAAAGTGAACGTGGGCAAGTAAGCAGAGAATGATACAATACTGTGCTTGCAACTAGTATTTGTGTTTTGTGCACCTTTTTTGAAGATCCTAGATCTGAGGCCTGGATCCTTCGCTTGAATGGTTTTAGTCTTAGGTCTGCTGAAGTCAGTGGAATGTATGTATATATTTGCATGACTAAGGCCTTAAGGCTCAAAAGCAGCAGCAGCAGAAGATCCCTTAAGACTCGTTAACCCAGGCCTCAGGCAGTGGTGCTCTGGGAGATGAATCCAGAAGGAGACCAATGGGTGGCATGAGACAGGGAAAATGCTGTAGCCATAATATGGTACCTGACTTTTCCACTGGAAAATCCTCAGGCTGCCAGTTTGACCAGACATCCCTCTGGCTTGGGCTGATGACTCAGCTGAAAGCATTATTTTGGGAGGCAAGAACTCTATAGTTGTTCTTGTAATAAGTCCCATTCCAGCAGTCAGTCTATGTTTAGCAGAAAAACAAAGAACTTGCTTGGGTCATCCTGCTTGTAGACTAAGATGACTGATGTGTCATTAGACATTCACTCTGCTTCTAAATGCAATGAATTGGCAAACACCACACTTGAGAAACAATTCTGTGTATTACTACAAACTGTCTGTGGGAATGTTTGTGTGCTGTGGACTCCTGTTGTAATACTTCTCCCCCTTGTCTGTCTTCTTTCTGTTTCATTTAGTGGAAGGGTAAATTCTTGGGGGAAGAAATTGCACATACTTGCTGTGAAAGGCAATGTCCATTGCTTGGTGGAATTCTTAGGTGGTATTGTTTATAATGCCTTTTGGATTATGTGTACCATTGCATGTCTGTGCAGTAAGTGTTGTATATCTTGCTGCTACTTTTGCATTAGCTTCACGATGGTTTTGGAGTATGTCGGATGACATTGTGCTCGTGACTGAGGGAAAGTTAGAAACCTTCTCATGATGTTGTGCTATTCTCTTGTGCCAGGTAGAGGAAAAGGTGGGAAACAAGCTATAAAAATTGAATCTGCTCAGTCATTTTGTTGTTGGCCTTCCTGTCCAAACAACTGTCAGGACAGTAGATCTGTTGGAAATAGAAGCTGTGCTGGTGTGGAAGCTGAATTGGTGTGAGAGCTCAGTCAACCTCTTAAATGCGGACAAGGGTGAATGTTCAGCTCCGTCCCTTAAAACATCAGCTGACAACTGAATTAAGTTTATTAACGTGCAGGAACTTAATGGATTCATTTCTGTGCACCCAAAGCAGTTAAATGTGCATTGTCTAAAACAAATGCCTGAAATGAAACAAACAAAATATGAATGCATTGTTTATTTTGTGCACTAACTGTTCTGAGGAAAGCGCGGTCTTATAAAAGAACCAGAAAAGATCCTGCTTGTGCATAATTTAAACCTAATTCAGATGGATTTTGCCACAGTAAGCAGTGCTTCTAGCACCTGAACCCCACACGGGATGCAGCCATCTTCTCTGGGGTCCCATGGAAGTCATTGAGAGTCACTTCTCTGGAATATGTACTAATCTTCAAAGAGTTATTCCTAGAATGTATTGAAGGAAAAATCTAGGAACTGCGGTGAAAATGGCAGGAGTTACAGAAGTTGCTGCTATTCCTATGGAATAAATAAATTCCTGTTTATCACTCTTGAGAATTCAGAAGCATAGCAGCAATTTGGCAGAGCATCCACGTGATTTACCCTTAAAAGGACGTGATGTCGTTCAGGGAGAATAATTGTAACTATGAATTAAAGACTAAGGGCCAAAAACCTAGAGAAGCAGAAGAATTATCATTGATGATATTTAATCTAGCTGTTTCCCAAGTAGAGGCTATTTATCGAAAGCCCTTTTGTGCAAGGGCTGCATTAGAAGCAAGAGTGGAAGTGGGTGGCTTTTAAATTATTCCAGTGAAATATTTTGCAGATTGTAATTAGTTGCTTTGCCAAGCTCCTTTTCAGTCTTGACTTTACTCTCTTGAGTAATTTATTATTGCTGTTACTATTCATGATCCTAAACAAGACTTGACGTTGTAGCCAGATCTTAGCAGTCCGGTACAAAGGCGTCATTGCAGCCCTAGTTTCCTAGATGGTAAGAATAGGGGGAGGGGATTATTGAATCTAAATCTACATTGGAAGACTATAGGATTTTATAGGATTTGGATCCTATAAAATAATAGGATGTTTTCTGTCTCACATGATCAAATGCTAGAAGAGAAATTTGTTTTACATGTTACCGTAGGAACATGATGGGGGGGCTATTGAATGGACGGGAACACAGTACAGAAGCTTATGAACTGGCAGCATGAATGAGTTTAAAGAGAAGTCCATTCAGACAGGAGCATCAAGAACGTCAGTAGCATGGGGTTTTTTTAATATCAGAGCTTGATTATCTGTAATCCTTTGATGCTTTGTTCTCTTCCCTCATGTGGGCCATGCTTTCAACCTGGAGGATTGATGATCGGTCTAACCTGCTGTGGCAGAGGCTGGTTCTGTGGGCAAGAGAGACACAGGGCTTGGGGAAGTTGTATTTCTGTGCGAAACTTCAAGAAAGCTGAAGAGGAAATGCATACCTCAGAAAACCAGTTGGACTGGGTGTCTTGTGACAGGATTGCAGTTATGGAGGAGACTGTTTAGTTCTTGGAAAAGTTTGTTAGACAATATAGAGCATCCTGGTTATGTGCACAGAAATTCACTACTGCTGGTATATATTAAGGGAGGGACTTGAGTTCAACATCTGAAGGATAGGACACAAAACTCTTTATTTTAGGGAGTGTCAACTCTTAAGTTGGCATTACTTATGTGGTGGTCCGAGTTCCTTTTCAGCAAATTTTAGTACAGTATGTACAAGCTGTGATATAGCAACACTTATGTTCTGGTCATATTGCATCTGAATATTGTGTGGACTGATGATCTGTTTTTTTCCCGTTTCCCATCAGCAAATGTGCTTGGCCAGCTAAAATGTGACTACTTTGCAGGAAGCGGGGGAGGCTGTCAGAGCCTTTTCTTTCCGAGTATCATTGACTGGAACTGTTAGAGTGGAAGCCTTTTCATAATGGCTTGGTGCTGTGCAGAAGAGGCTCCCCAGTCACTTGAACTCTGTGTTGCTTGGAAGTATAAAGATGGCTTGTTAGTTTTTCACCTTGCGGTGGGCAAATTGAAGAACTGGAAATCTAGTAATGGATATTATAATGAATTCAGACTTACAGATTCTGTTTCCGAATCTGCCGCTGATTGTTAAAAATATCATGTTCCTCCATCTTCAAACACAGAAGAGGATGGGTGGGAAGGCCAAGTGCCTTGCTAAGGATGTATAAATGTGAGTGTAGTTCCTAGGATTTTGCTATACAGTGAAGGAGAGTGAGGCTTCAGCTGCAATACTGTGTCTGTTTTGGGGCAGACCTCTTCAAGAAAAGCATGAACCAGCTGATGAGACAGCAACAGTGATGCAAGGTTTGGGAAAGGGGAGTTGTGGTGGAAGCGCCTACAGTTACATGGTCAAGAGAGGTTTGAGAGGAGGCATGCTGGTGCTTTCCAAATGCGCAACAAGCCCTCACAAAGGAGAAGCTATGGATTTTGTGTCTGTGAGGAATAGGATGTGGCATCAGGGTCATCTTGTAGAATCATAGAATCCTTTAGGTTGGAAAAGACCTGTAAGATCATCCAGTCCAACCATTAACCTAACATTACCAAGTCCACCACTAAACCAATTAAGGGTAGAGTAGCAATTTCATGTTTCCTGGCTTGGTGGCTGGATTATTTACAATGAAAGTGAAAACTAGGAATCATTAAGGTTGGAAAGGACCTCTAAGATCATCATTCCGATCACAGAATCATAGAATTGTTTAGGTTGGAAAAGACCTTTAAGATCATCCAGTCCAATCATTAACCTACACTACCAAGTCTACTCTAAGCCAATCAAGGGTAGACTAGACTAAACCATGTCCCGAAGTGCCACATCTACCCGTTTTTTGAACACTTCCAGGGATGGTGACTCCACCACCTCGCTGGGCAGCCTGTTCCAATGCTTGACTACCCTTTCCGTGAAGAAACGGCTTTGAACATAAAGCTATCTAAGCATTGGAATAGCCTGCCTGTCACAAGAAGGGTTTTGACAAATGCGTGTAGGAGTGGTTTAGACTTAGTTGGCCCTGCTGTGGGGCATGAGGATAGACTAGATGATGTCTCAAGATCCTTTCAGACCTACTTTCTGTAGTTATATGATGCTAGGTTGGTGAGTTGCACTTAAGCTGTGTGACTCAACTTGCCTAATGCAAAATGAACTCAGTAATTGCTCCTTCCATAGCAGTATTGACAGGCTAAACTAAAGAATATATGGAAAGTCTGAAGGATCCTTTAGCTATTGTTACTTCACAACACCAAATATCCAGAGGCATATGAATCTCCAACTGCTTTTGTTGTCTTTCCCCCCCACCGCCTCCCAGGAAATGCCCCCCAGAACCCGTCTGAACATAATCTCAAAAATACAAAACTTTCTGGTAAAACGAAGTATTCTTCTTAAATCTACATCTGTCTGTTATTAGGGTTTTTTTTTTCCCCCTCCAGAAATGCTTTTTTTTCCACATTTTCTCTTGATTGTTTGCCTTTTGCATGGAACAGGAACTCTCAGTCCACATTGGAATGTCTTAGTAGGCTGAGAGTAGTTTACACAAATACAGATTTTTCCCAAATCCAGACCTTATTTAAATGACCAGTCCCAGTTTTTCAGTGCTAGAAATTTATCAAAACATGCTGATACAGAAATACAGCCTCCTGTTTATTGCTTTGCAGAGACATGTTTGGAGTGCCTTATCACTAGTTTTCTGCGAGTGGTGCCTACTTTCATTTTATGGCAAATTTTGTGCCTGTTTGGATTAAAAAAAAAATTCTGATAAAGGAAATGGGGGATTAGTACAGACAAAGAACACCACTGTTTTTCCTTTCCTTTCTGCTTTAGCCTCACAACTCTCACCTTTTTGGAGGGTGGATATTGAGTCTTAAAAGCCTTTAATATGTCTCAAGCGATTTCAGAATTACCACGACCGTGACTTTGTAGTGACCTTCTGAGGAATGTCTTTGTCAAAAGTGAAACAAGGACTGTAAATACCATCCTGCTAGAGAAGGGAAGAGCTTACTTCACTGCTGTAATAGAAGTGCTTTGTCATTCTGGCTAAGGGAAGCTGGTCTACATTCCAGTTTTCCTCTCAAAATGCCAAAGAATGCACTCGGAATATCCTGTGTCTGCCTTTACTGCAGGTCTTGACAAGAAAAACAAATGAAACCCACCAGTAGAAGAGCAATGTCTTTCACATTTGATTGCCCCTTCTCTTTCTGTAGCATCTGAAAGCAGGACTGTACATGTTTTTAATTGGTGTTAATAATTTTGTCAGCTTTAAAATTGAAAATGTTGGTACTTTGATTAAGTTGAAAGAAATCAATCTCTCTCTAGACTTTGTGGACACATTTTTTTAATCTCTTGACAAGAGACACATAATATCTATAAATACATTAGGGCCCTGTTGCATCAAGCCTTATACACAGAGTAATTTACAATCTCCCACAGTCTCAAGAGACAAGTCAGTGAAGAGCAATGTATAGAAGTCCCTGCACCGATAAAATGTACTCTTATTGTAGCACTTCAGATGGATAGATGTAAAAGAGAACATGTGCTTACTGTCCACTGGAAGTTAAATTAAATAGATTTTACTTAATGCTCATCAACCTAATGGGAGAAATCTGTAATAATTCTTCATTCTTGCAAGGGACACGTTGCTGTTGGCAACACCTTCATTATCAGCCACGTGGAAAGCAAAATGCAAAGTTGCAAGCATCATCAGGAGATCCCCTGCAGGCCATGGGTTCACATTCAGCAGTATAGTGACTTTAGTTGTGCAATCAGTGAGAATGAGACATGAAGGAAAAATGTGCCATAAAATAGCATTATCTTGGAAATTAAGTGTTAACAGTTGAACCAAACTCAAACTCCGGCAATTCTGGAATTAGAAATCAGGCTCTTCCTTTACTGGGAGAGAAGAGATTCCCTGGAATCCTGGAAGAATATTCCAGGATTGACTGACATTGATTGGTCTGTTAGTTCCAGAAAGTTTGTCTTCCTAAGCCATGATTTATTTGAAAATTGCTTCTTAAAGCTCATTTTATATTTAAGAAAAGTGTGACAACTATCGTTAAGAATGAATTCCTATTCTGTCTGGTGAGTTCTTGCATGCTTGGCCTGTGTGCATGGTGTGTTTTCTTGTTACTCTTGGAGCATCTGCTAGCAATTAACTCTTACACTCCTAAAGGCTGTGCCACAGAGGACTGTATCTTACTCTTTTTGAGTCTCATGATGTTATGTAGATCTGTGCTTTGGGGGTTTTCCTCACTAAGGCCCTAACTTCTTTTTTTTTTTTTTTTTTCCTTCCAGTCATGTGTCCCTTTTTTGCTGATTCCATTGGATAATCTGTTTCTGATTACAGGTGAAAGAAGCAGTGAAATATGCCCTAAGTGTGGGTTATCGCCACATTGATTGTGCAGCAGCTTACAGCAATGAAGCAGAGATCGGTGAGGCTTTCCAGGAATGCCTTGGGCCCAACAAGGTAAAAACACAAGAACCACCATGCTGACTGTATGTTGTATCAAAATTTACAACTGTGACCTGAAAGTAGACTGTAAAGTTAACATTTGTGGCTTTTCCTCCTGGTCTACCCCAGCTGTGTGTTATTAATCAGGAGCAGGCGTGAAAGAGGGCTTTCTTTCCTCTATAACGATCCTGGCTGTCAGGAGGAGAAAAGATTGTCAGGAATATTTGCATGGAAAGTACAGAAAATGCCTTTTTAAATTTCCCTGCCCTCCTCCCCATGCCCCGCCACAAAGTATCCCAATTTGAGTTTTCAAAACATTGGAGGTTCCCAGAATCACTAATTAAAATGCAAAATATTTGCCATGCTTTATATGAAAAGTTACTCTAGTTTGCCAGTCTAGAATAGCATGCAATTGTGGGTAGCCACAGCAAATTTGGTGACTGTGGGTTTTTTGGTTATAGATCAGATATGAGAGAGTAAATGTGTACTTTTTTTTTTTTTAAATGGTGTTTGCATTTGAAGGTTTGGTAACTGTGACTCTAGGGCCTGCAATGAGAGCCCATGGCCTAAATATAAAGTAAGGTCACAGGCATTCATATGGATGGCATGAGGTGGAATCTTAAATTCATTCCCTTGTTCTTGTTGGCCTGAGGGGCCAGAAGGCTTATGTGTACAGCCTCAGAGCTCCTGGGAAGAAAGTTCTTATGTTCCTGCTTTCCTGCTGCTCTTGCCTTGGCTTTAGGGCAATCTCTTTGTTATGTGATTAGCTTGAGGGAGGCTGTTTTCAGCTTGCCCCAAGGATTCCTTCCTACTAGCTAAGGGAACTAATATAGGGAAGCATAGGACTCTTTTATTCAGTTCCTATTAGCTAGCTAACTTAAAACTAGAATTTTTTAAAACATCTTTCTCTTTGAATACAACAGTCATGTGTGAAACACACAAATAACTGAATGGTTGGAGGAGAGAAACTAAGCAATTAATCATTCCAGCTTCTACAAAGTATAGACTTGAGTGAAACTTGGTCCTGCGTAAGTCATCAAGAAGTGCCCTCTGGTGTTCTGTGCTTCAGCTTACCAAATAAGATCTCCCTTTTGAGTTTTATACTTCCTAGTTAACCAACTTTCCATTTCTTTAATTTCTGCCTCTTATCCTGCCAATACAGGGTGCTCAATTCTTAGTGTGTTCCTCCCAGAACCTAGAAACTCAAGTGCAGAGGTTTGGGGAACCTTCTTCTGTTTATTTTCCCACGCTCTTTCCATGAGAAGCATTCTTTGTTTATAACATGTGATGAGTATAGTAAGTTAGCTGGTTGTGTCTAGAATATGTGAATTGTTAAATAGAAATTACAAAATTTACATATGAATAAACTGAGTGATCTTTCTTTTGGCCACATCACGCTTAGTAGTGGCTTTAACCCTTGAATTGGAAACTGTGGAGAAGAGTGTGTGTGTGTGTAAGGGATTGTTTTATTTTTCAAAACTTCTAATAAATTGCTAAGTATTTGATATACTTTAGGACTTGTCAATGTAAGTGTGTATTTCTCTCGCTCTTCTCCATCCAGTATATTTTTGAAAGGTTTAATTTGTAGGTTCCATGTGTTAGCTTTTTTTTTTTAACTTAAATTGTTTTATTTGTTTTAAAGCTAGTTGGGGAATTGCTACAATTACCCTTCTGAACTTCCTCCAGTAAATTATGGTCTCTTCCCTTTCTTAAAGGTTATTAAACGGGAGGACCTGTTTGTAACATCAAAGCTCTGGAATACCAAGCACCACCCAGAAGATGTAGAGCCAGCGCTAAGGAAAACACTTGGAGATTTGAAACTGGATTACCTGGACCTGTACCTCATGCACTGGCCTCATGCCTTTGAGTAAGTTCTACCTGGAAAGGGCACAGAAAGCAGAAACCCCAGTTTTACATAAGCGGCGGGTGTTATGTCCTGAGGAGCTTCTTTCTAGGCTGTGAATTTTTTCCTGTGTATACTGCCTCAAGATGTGTTTCAGTGTGGCTGATAGTGTAGTCCTACAGACTGTCATATGGACAATCTTTTCTACCCATAACCTGTACGCTTACTCATTTGGTCCATTCATTCACAGAAACAGTTGTTCAAATTTCATTTTTCTTTGAATTTCAGTTGGGTGAGAATTTGTTTGCTGTTAGATTTGTAGCACGTCTGTAAACATACAGTAGAGAAAACAAAATTCCTGGTTTTGTGTAGCTGTATTGTAAATAGAAAAGGGATAATTGTTTTCATTATTTAGCAGTGATGAGGCTGGAAAAACGGGTATTAAGTCTTCATTTAAAATCTTTAAGCAATTACTTAAATTTTTTAATAGTGAGAACAACTAATGAAATTAGGATCGCTAAACTTCTGACGGTTTGGCATGGGTGCCAAAGTTAGGTAACTGGAAAGAAGTGATAAAGCTTTATGGGACAGGTTTCTACACTGAAGCTTGCTGTCTTACACTAGCTGAAAACTTGGCTTGCTCAGGGGTAAAATATTTGTCGAGTTTAAAATATATTAGAAGTTTAAAATAGTCTAGTGTCTTCGTCTAGGCATTGGTGAAATGTGGCAGCTATTCTTGGTTCTGCTACTGACCTACACGGTAACCTTGGGGAAATCCTGTCACTGCTTTGTGCCTTAGTCTTACGTATCTGTAAAATTAGAATTAGGTGCTTTGTAAAGACAACAGCACTTTTTGCTAATAGTTATTAACTGTACTGGAGTGGCCAAGCGCATGCAGTATCATGCTGGTATCTGTATGAGGTGGAAACGAAAATTGCTTCTTATGACACTTTTATTCTACGATTCAAGGAAATATGAGAAAATTCTCCAGTTAAGTGCTAAATGCACTTACCCTACAATCCCATCAGAAGCACTGTTCCTTGGTTTATTTTCTTGTAGATGTGGAAGCAGTTCCGCGCCGCCCCCCCCCGCCCCCCAAATCAGTAAAAAAGCAGGGGGGGAATAAATCTCCTGACCAGATGTTTGCATGGAGACTTCACTCAACAGGGGAAACCCTGTCAGTTTAAGGGGCTTCTATCTGTTCTGCAAATTTGAGAATATTTTTTTCCCCTTCTAGTCCTATGAACTGAATTTTACAAAGCATACAACATTAACGATAAGAGGAAAGATGTTCAAAGTGTAAATATATTCCTCAGCATAACAGAATGAGGAATCGTTTTCAACTAGAGCTGGTTTGGAGGAAGAACTGTTAAAAACTCCCCCTATTATGAAACAGGTTTGTTTTCCAGTTGATTGAAAAAAAACAGTAGTTGCTTTGATAATAACACATAACACAAATAATGTTGTATATTTAGATGTTACTAATATTTAAATGTGCTTGATGTGGAAACCATTGACAAAACTGACGTTCTAATAAAGCAGTTTTATGTTTTCTCACTGGAAACTGTTCACTCTACAGTTTTCCATTAGCTCTACTTCAACTGTTTTAATGCATGGTTATCTATAATGCCTATTGTATTGGGAAGCTAAGCAAAAGAGTGTTACTTACACAGAAATTAAAACAGACTTCTGGATGAAAGTTACAGTGCCTCTAGGTTGTGACAATCTCTCAATGTATTTACTCTTGACATATGAGGCTGTTTCTCTGAGTTGGGAGCTCATGAGGTTTTCAGAGTTATTTTTTGTTCCAGATCTATCTGGAATAGATCTATCTGGATCCAGAACAAGGACCATCTCCCCTTGTCCCCCAGCTGCTGCCATTTCTCACACCGTTCCCTGCTTAGCTAGAGAATGTAAGACAATCTCTGAGATCTGAGCCAGCAGAGTCCTGCAGTGGTTATGAAGCCAGTGCTCTTCCAGTGGGATTGCTGGCATCCCTCCGTGCATGGACTGCTCAGAGACCAGTCATAGCCCTTTGGCAGTGCGGTGGTATCACTGCACTTTGTGTGTGTTGTTGGCTTTGTTTTTAATTTTATTTTTTAAATGCGTTGGTATGACTAACTGGAAACACACCCAACCTACAATCAACATGTGCATGTTAAGACCTCTCATGAAAATCTGCACTTGTATCGAGCGCTGACACTGCTACAGAATCCAGAGGGAGTGGGAAACCAGCATACTCTGAATACAGTCTCTCCTAGATAGCTCTTAAACCAAGATCCCTTGGGTAGCAGCTCCAAACAGACTATGAAGAATATCAGTCCTCCCTCAAAAACAAATTGAAAAACCAAAGCCTCCCTCTGAGCTGCTGTTCTCTAAAACAGCTGTTTTGCTAGGATCAAAGTGTGCGAAGAGCTGCTGCTGTGTATACAGTGGCTTATCAGTTTTGTGTAGTCACTACCATATAGGTAAGTAGTTCAAAGTACTGTATAACAAGTTTACATAGGGAAGACTGTATGTGAAATAATTTCTCATAGTAAAGTCAGCATAATGGAATTCAACGGACAAATTTGCTCAATTTGTACTCTGTCCTCCAAACTATGTATAAGCTTTTGAGAATACTTTGAGGAAAGTTTCTTTTAGTGAAGAACTAACATAATATAACCAATGTGGTGTATGTACTTACACTTCATCTTTGATGCTATAGACGAGGGGACAATCTCTTCCCAAAGAATCCTGATAACACGATGCGTTACGATTACACTGATTACAAGGACACCTGGAAGGCTATGGAAAAGCTGGTAGAAAAAGGTCTTGTGAAAGCCATTGGACTGTCAAACTTCAACAGTCGTCAGATCGATGATGTACTGAGTGTGGCTACTGTCAAACCAGCTGTGCTCCAGGTAAGGTGAATAAAGGTGTGGTGGTTTGACCCTGGCTGGATGCCAAGTGCCCACCAAAGCTACTCTGTCACTCCCCTTCTCAACTGGACAGGGGAGAGAAAATATAACGAAAAAGCTTGTGGGTCAAGATAAGGACAGGGAGATCACTCAGCAATTACTGTCACGGGCAAAACAGACTCGACTTGGGGAAAACCAGTTTAATTTATTACCAGTCAAAACTGACTAGGAGAGAGGAGTGGGAACATGTGTAGGGTAATCAGAAATAAAACCAAATATTAGAACACCTTCCCATCACTCCTTCCTTCTTCCCGGGCTCAACTTCACTCCTGATTTTCTCTACCTCCTCCACCCCAGTGGCACAGGGGGATGGGGAATGGGGGTTGTGGTCAGTTCATCACACGTTGTCTCTGCTGCTCCTTTCTCCTCAGTGGGAGGACTCCTCACACTCTTCCTCTGCTCCAGCGTGAGGTCCCACCCAGGGGAGACAGCTCTCCATGAACCTCTCCAGTGTGGGTCCTTCCTGCGGGCTGCAGTTCTTCACGAACAGCTCCAGCATGGGTCCCTTCCCCGGGATGCAGTCCTTCAGGAGCAGACTGCTGCAGCGTGGTTCCCCCGTGGGGTCACAAGTCCTGACAGCAAACCTGCTCCAGCGCGGGCTTCCCACGGGGTCACAGACTCCTTTGGGCACATCCCCCTGCTCCGGCGTGGGGTCCTCCCCGGGCTGCAGGTGGATATCTGCTCCTCTGTGGACCTCCATGGGCTGCAGGGGGACAGCCTGCCTCACCATGGTCTTCACCATGGGCTGCAGGGGAATCTCTGCTCCAGTGCCTGGCTTCTCACAGAAGCCACCCCTGTAGCCCCCCTGCTACCAAAACCTTGCCATGCAAACCCAATACATTAGGAGAGGATGAATACCTTTCCTGTGTGTCCATAAGAGTGAAGAATTTGCAAACCAATACTATGTATTTAGCACAAGGGGTGTAGCTGCTTATGTACAGGGAAGAATATAGCCACCTCTGCAGGAGCAGGGACACAGAGGTGATCTTTCCAGGCAGATTAATTTGTTGAGGTGGAGGCCTATATCCATGTTCTGTGGCTATTTGTGCCTGCTTAGTTGAACAGGTCTGTGGAAGAGTCCATCTTCCCTCTGAGGAACAATTTATAAGAAAGAAAGACTGCAGGGGAGTAACTTGAATCCATTCTGTAGAGAACTTCCTTGCTTGTTGGATGATCTGTTTGGTACATGAGGAAAATCCAGCACTCTAAATTTAGGCAATCTATTCTCCTTTTCCTGTAAACTTAGCCTACCAGATGCTTTTTCATTCTTTCATTAAAGGTTATCCTCATAAGGTTTTGTAGAAGCTGGAATGACTTCCTGTGATGTGTTTGGTTCTGCTGTGCTTTTGACTTCCTGTTTGTTTAGAGTTTTGTGTTGATATCTGTTCTCTAGCCACTCATTATGGGTCATTTTAATAGGTAGAATGCCATCCTTACCTAGCTCAGAATGAGCTGATAGCTTACTGCCAGAAACGAGGACTGGTTGTCACTGCCTACAGTCCCCTTGGTTCTCCAGATCGCATGTGGAAACACCCAGATGAGCCTGTGCTTCTAGAAGAACCTGGGATCAAAAAACTGGCTGAAAAATACAGCAAATCACCTGCACAGATCATCCTCAGGTACAGAACAATTGTGAGAGAGGGTGGCATTTGGGAACTAGCCTTAAACAAAGCAAAACATGCAAGGTAGAAGGAGTTTACTTAAGTGTATGTTCTTCCACATCAGTGGGGAGTTAAAATCACAGGGGGTGCCAAAAGCAAACCCCATTTGGTGCTTGTTTTACAGAGTAGGTAGAGTTGGTCCTGCCTTAGGGCAGGTGGATGGGCTAGATCAGAGGGTTCCGTTTGGGGCATAGACCTATGCCTGGGACAGTTCATTACCTTTTCTGCTGTGGAACAGCAGTAGGACAGTTAAGGCAGCAGTGTACCACATTTGAGTGCCACCTACTGAATTTGGCCGTGGCCAGTTGCTTGAACCCTTGAGTGCTTGCTGCTGCATTCAAATGGGCTCCCAGGAAGACGGGCTGAGGAAGGGACCTTCCTTCTTCGCACTGAAGAACCCTTTGCTGTTTTGTTTTTATATAGCAAGAGCCAGCTACTGGATACTGGGAAACAAGATGATTGAGTGATATCCAGAATATGATCAGCACCTTGTAAAGTAAAATTGGATTTCTATCCTCATTTTTTGTCTGGCTCTGTATCTCTCAATATCACTAGTACAGTCTTGGGCAGCAGCAAGTTACCCTGCCACGTGAACGTGTTCAAGACTTGGTGCTCAAGCCATTAGACAGGCACCTAAGAGATCTGGGTTTTCTTCTAGTTTCTCAATGGTCATTGTGTTAGAACTTGCGTAAAATGCTTAAGTACGTTTTTCTGACTGTTTCTTGGGTTTCTAGCTTAAAGCACCTGAAACTTGCTTGCTTGTTCAAAGGCATGAGCATCTTCCTCTCATTGATTAGTCCAGTGGCTACTGTCTTGCTTCAGCTTGGACATACTAGGTCCTAATACAATACAGTGCTATGACAGCCCTCTTCTGGGTACTTTTATTTCACGTAGAAACATAAGTGGCATCTCTGCTGCCACAGGTAATTACTCAACCAATACAAATATCGGGGGTTCTTGGGCTGCATGCATAGAAGATCTCTCTCCTCCTCTTAACAGATGGCAAGTGCAGCGTAAAGTGGTTGCCATTCCCAAGAGTGTCACTCCTGCTCGCATTCAGCAAAATCTCCAGGTAAGTTTAAACGGAGGAAAGGAGTTTCAGCAATGCCCTTTCATGTGAGTAATATACTGTCCTACTACTTGCAGAACAACAAGCTGAGGCACTTGGTTCATACTTGTTCATCAATGTATGCACATGCTTAGAAGGGAGGGTAAAGATTTTTGGAAAACAGACTTGATATGTTTTAAGCAACTAAGCGTGTATGTGTGTGCATGCAGGTGTGCGTATATGTGCATGCACAGTCTTGGTATCAAAAGGTAAAGAATGTCCTTGGCAGAAGTCTAAATGGAACGTCTTTACTGAAATTTATTTGAGATACAGATTTATTGAACAAGGCAGTCTTCTAATGATATTTATTGGTTCTTATTTATGAATAACAGTTGTCCTAGCCTGCAAGTGAGGGCTGGTGACTATTTCTGCAGCAAGCTGCTATTCTAATGATGATGAAGGAATAGAATTAGTCTGATTCATTTCTGAAGTAGAGACAGTTCGCTTTAGAAATTATTTGAAAACTCTGACTTCCAATAATTTGGAAGGAAGTCTCTGAATCACCTCCAGGAGACCAGGTTGGCTGGTTACATACTTGTTTTCAAGTTAAGACTTGTTTCTGTAACTGTTACTTCTATGAAACTGTTTTCTGCCATATAGTTTGCTGCTAGAAATGTCAAGAAATTCCAGTAAACTCTGCAGTTACTCGAGGTTTAGATCTGCAGGGGAACAGAATATTGACTGAATAGGCAGCACTTGGAGGAACAGTCCCGCTGCTTTTTATCTTTGTGGAAGAGTGCTAGGCAGTGTCAGTGTAAGCTTAGAGTTGGCAAGCGTATGAACACCTCAGGCTTTAAGCCTTTGTTTTGGTGTTTGTTATAAAATGGGTTTAACTGCAACTTCATATTTATGAATAGAAGACAAACTAATACTGTCTGAAGCCAAGATTTTTAGATACATGAATTCTGTTGATCAGAGTTGCATGGAAATTCCCTCTATTTGAGGCTCAGACTTACCAAAGTTGCAGCTTCTGAAGGTGTTTGAAATATTACAAGTTGCATTATGTTTAATTTAATTGGTTTTAACACTAGGATCTTGCAATTCTAATAGAGCATGTAGGTTTTATTTTTGAAAGTGCAAAAGAAATACTATGTAACTACAGCTTAATAACTTATTCCAGTCTTGTGTGTTTGCCTCAGTTACAACTGTGTTGTTGCACTGTCATCTGAAATTAAACACTGAAATAGTCAGCAGTGTCTCAGGTCACTGCTGCTGTTCCATTCTGTCCTGGATTATTGAGAAGTGGAACCTTTTTGCCTTTAAGTCAAATCTGTTGCTTGTGGATCTCTGGAGAAATTCATGGCACAAGGGGATGGTTGTGACATACAAAGGAAACAAAACCAAGAGACAAAACTCAATTAAATGTAAAAAACCTATGGTTATTGAATAAAGCCTCTTGCTTTTGTTCTCAGGTGTTTGATTTCAGCCTCACAGAAGAGGAGATGAGCCACATTGGAAGCCTGAATAAAAACTGGCGTTACATTGTGCCAATGATTACGGTAAATTTCTCATGTTTCTGTTAGTTTTCATTATGTGCATGTGGCCACAGCTTGGGGTTTTTGCAGTTTTCTTTCTTTTACTGTCCCTATCAGAACTACTTACTCATAAGAACACTACATCTTTTTAGGGTATCTAAGATGAAAGAATTTTTCAAAAGCTCAGTGCAAAAAAGGTAACTTTTGGAAAACTATTCTCCTCTGTTTTGGCCACTGATGGCTCTCTCGAGTTGTCATTACTGACCTGTCCACGGGCCTTTAAGCCAGAGTCCCATCTTCAGATCTCACCAAACAGCTGATTTGTTCTTCTCCTGTACAAGCAGGCTAAGGTCCCTGCCGTTCCTCCAGAAGTACCCCTTGTTCCAACTGTCCCTGTCAACTTTATACTGTAAACCTCTAAGATCAGTGAAGACTCAAGGTGCTTTTAGTTCTCCACATCCATTGTGGAAGTCACATGAGGGAATTTGTCCACTCCCCTCCACTGGATGTCCCCCCTTTCAGCATCTGTTGTAATGACCTTCCTCCAGTGTAAGGAGTTTGGCTTAGGCTGTTGTATTTTTCTTCCCAAATCCATTAGCCGCAGCGTCTTTTAGCATCAGTAGTTTACTCTGTCACATGAAACCTTACCTCGTGTGCTATCAGATGCTAGCCTGTTTTTAGAGGACCGATGCCTTTTAAGTGTTGAAGTCCTCTTGGTCTTTCTTTTCTTATATTAAAGGACCTAACCTTGTTCCTTTCCCCTCTCTGGGGGGCAAAAAAAAAAAAAAAGTCAATGCCTTGTTGTCTCCTGTCTTTATAGTGTTCCTCACTTCTTATTGTCCTGCTTCTGACTATACAACAGAGAGCTGTTGCCATTCCCTGGGGCATCACTGACCAACACATGGCAACTGTGCTATAACGAGTCTGAAGTGATTTATCCCTTCTCTATCATACAGTACACTGCATAGATACAGTAGGTCTCTGCAAATTTGAAAGCTGTCAAGCATACCCTTGCCTCTCCAGCAGTTTGTCTGCCTGTAAATTATTCTTCAAGAGTCAGTGGCTACTGGCTCTAGGAATTCTTTGGAGGAACCTTTTCTCCAGGATTTGTTATTGAGTTTCTTTGAGTACTTGAGGGCATATCAGAGGCTAGTCTGAGTTAGAAAAGAGAAGTTGTGAGTGTGTGGTGAATTACTGTCTCATATCAAGGGTAGATACTTGTTATGGCTTTGACTGTTTGTCATGATGGGGCTTATGTGACCATCAAGGCCATGCTTTTAACTGTAGGGTTGCCTCAGTATGTGGATGTAAATATAAACTCCCACATCCCTGCAACCAAAATTATCTTTGTGCTTATGGATCAGGAGTCTATGTGCCAAACTGCAAGCAGCTATGCTTGTGTGAATGTGGTAGTGACAAGCACACCTGCTGCTTACAGTATGTTTCTTTCAAGTGTTTTGCTACTTGTGCTGCAAACAAAGTTGTTTTGTTAATGACACTACAAAATACATTAGAATGTAGCCTGGCTTGGATGAGCAGGGGATAATTCTTGTGCTTTTGTTACCTGGGAGACCTGAACAGATCACAGTGATTCACAAAGGAGAGATGAAACACAGTTCAAAGTGCTAGCCCATCCAATTAGAAAAAGGGTGAATGTGATGCAGCTGGGCTTCAAAGATACTGCCATGTTGTCAGATAACAAGACAGGAAGAAGCAAGATGAGGAGAATTAAAACAGGACTCTGTAGCTGTAAGATGTCTAGTGAAACCTTTTGTCTCCTGCCCATCCCTTCTGGGCTTATCAGAAAGAATTTTCATCAACTGTGAATTGAAATTCCTGTCTAACCTTTCATGCCTTTCTCCTCTAGCTTGTAGTGTCTGGATTTCAGTGTGATATGGCAGTGATGTCAGAGCTCCTATCATGACTGATGAGACAGTTTTTCCTTGCTTTACTTCACTGATATATAACCATAAGTTCTTATAGTTGTGCTCTCTTCTCCGCATTTGTGTTTTTGTTTAAAGCCTGAGGAGAGGCTGTTACATTGCATGTAGACAATTTAAGTTGCTTTATACTTTAACAGCTCGTTATGTGGATAGAGGTTGGAAATTATTCAGCCCTACCTTGCACCAGCCTGAAATCAAAACTTTTGGAAACATATAATTGGCCAAGGAATATACTTAAGCAAAACTTGAATGACTAGCAAGCCAGGAGAGGAGGAGTGATGGTGTTGTACACATGATGATCTGTCTGGTTTTGATAGTTAGCTACCGTTGACCTGCAATGTGTTCACTGCTGATTTTAACCCCCCTCCTTCTCTCAAATTCCTGGGGTAGACTGGAATCAGCTATGTGAGATGTTGCTTCTGGCAGCTGCTGTCTTGGCATGCTGTGAAGAAGAATATTTACCTGAAGAACTGTTCTGTGCAGTGAAATATGCTGGGGGAAGAAACTGGGGGGAAAAATGAGGAATATGAATTCTAGGAACGTGTGGAAGTTCTTGTCTCTCAAGAGACTATGAGGAAACCTGAAGATACTGTGATACTTTTGTCCACAGTTTCAATGATTGCCTTCAGTTGACAGCTTCATTTCAGCTTTGTTTTATTTTAATCTGAGCATCAGTCAAATGTTAAGGTTTAACATCTTAGTTTTCTGCTCTGTAGTGCCCCCAAGTGACTAATTTCACACTTCCAGCAGTCTTCACGATAAACAATTCGTTACTAGGGATTCCAGTTGTTGCTTTGAAAAGCAGGTTTTATACTGAAAGCTAATAGAGGGACTTGTGAGTGGACACTTGGTTTGAAAGTCCCTGTGATTCCCTCCATCCCCATAACATTTTGAGTGATCTCTAACATCACATTAATATAAAAATCATATTTATATGTATGTATAAAAATAAAATATTTCTCTAACATAACATTTTATTCAGTCATTAGTCACTTGATGTAAGTTTGAGCTGAATGATGCTAGTCTGTCACCAGGGAGGTGTGTATCTCTTTGCCAATGCTGCACCTAAATTTCCACAAACATTACAGAAAAGGAGCAAGGTTTTACCTCAGCTCCTTGGAAGTTGGAGGTGTTGCAACGCACTTAATGCAACTAGAAATGCAGCTTGTGCGTCTGCCTGCTTAGTGGTGGGATGTAGGAATTGAGACTTCTGCATGGCCACGTCTGCTTTTGGGCCAGCCTGAGCCGCTGTTTCATTATCTGTGAACATCAGTTTCAGTATTCCCATTTTACAGCTGGAGAAGCTGGTCTTCCACGGAAATGTTCATAAACAAAAAGTGCTATAAAGGAGCTCAGTGACGCTATTGATACTTCAGTGTATGACCCTGAACAAGTTATTCAATGTGTTTCATCTTATCCATCTGTAAAATCAGCAGCCTGGCAACTCTGTCATGGAAACATGGGCAAAAGCGCCAACTCCAGTAAAGTGTTCTGAAGTGTGCATGTTACAACATTTGCTCAATAACAGCTACAAGGCAAAAGGCTTTTAACTATTTTCAGTCTAATTCTTCAAGCCTCGGCAGGTGGAAGAAAGACTTGCTGTAGGCTACAGAAATACTTCTTTTTTTAAAAAATTAATTTTTAAACTTTTTCTTTCAAGAAGTGTTAAGAGGACTTGGGGGTAGAGGGAACAGCTCTTGTTTAAGATCTGAAGAAGATGCTCTCAGATGTTTGGGCTATGAAAATTTAGAAATCTAAACCATGCAGAGTTTGAAACTGAGAGTGAGAATGGATTTTTGTCTTTCTGACATGAGTCTGTTTACTTCACAGGTGAATGGAAAGCTAGTAGCAAGAGATGCTGGACACCCCCATTACCCCTTCAATGACCCCTATTAACTACTAGAAAATAAGGTGTTAGAATAACATGCTCGTCTCCACATCTCCACACTTGTCCACAAAGTAATTGTTGCCACAGTTTGTCAAAAAAACCTGTCCAACTATAAACCTTCCTTCCCGAGTAGGTTTACTTACAATGTAGTGCTTCTAATTGATCGCCTTTCTGGAGATATACTGTAGCTTCCATGTCAAAGTTTGTGGATTTATTACAATGACTGCAGGCTTGCTCCTGGAAGCATCAGATCTTTTGGGAATTAGATAAAGAGTTGGTGAGCCTAAATCAAGGTCCAAACACATGATTATTATCAGGTTGGGGCAATACTTTGGGTTTACTGCCAGTGAAACAGTTTTGAAAGCTTTAGTTATTACTATGAGGGGGGAAAGGCACAAAAACATTTTAAGACTAAACAACTGCTCAGCCATTGACTTTGATATCTTTATTAATATTTTTATACAGGGCATAAAGTGAAATGTCCTACAGTTGCACTGTGCCCATAAACCATGCATTAAAACCCAAGTAACCAGCCATGCCCAGTGCTTTTTATCCCCTTTAGAGTATTTGTGGGACTTAGAATTCTCTCTTCTCTATTTTCTTTTAATCTGCCTGTACATTTGAGGAGAATAAATGCATACCCTGGAGCAGGCCTTCAGGGCAGTCGTCTCTCTGTTGCTTGTCACATGGGTAGGTTTCTGCTCTGACAATAGCTCTGATTGTCCTATCACAAAAGCCTCAAGAACTTTTTAGCACGTCTTGTAGAAAAACATCCTGCTTTTACCATGAAGTTGTCCAGTGTCTCTTTACCAAAGATGTGCAGTTTGAGTTCTAGAAGGTCACAAAATTAGCTCCTGACTACACAGTAAGAGGAAAGACGTGTCGGAGGGCCCCTTCCATTTTAGTGTCACATTTTTGGCGGCTGCCTGGGCTGATGCTTGGGAGAGCTGGTCCTGTCTCCTGTTCTACCGCTGACCTGCTGGTAACACTGGGCAAGTAATTTGCCTTTTTTTTGCCTCTGTTTTCCCACTTGCCATGTCTCTGTGTTACTCCCCGGCAGGGACTAATTTACTGTGTGCTGATATACTGTTGAGAAGGACCGGAGCTCTAGCACTAACAATGGTTTAATTTTGTTTCAGTCTCTTAATGAATTGTCTAGCCATCTGGGTACAAAGGGCATGAGGTGTTAGTACCTACCGGTGCTCCAATGGTGATACCTTCTGTGGCCTTAGCAACATTAACACTTTATTTTGGTTTTCTCTACCTGTAAAATAGGATTAATGCTTATTTGCCTTGGTGCAAGGCAGAGTTTCTAAAGGCCTTGTGGATTTAAAACGGAGGAACTCTTTCAGATCTGTTGATGCCATTCAGAGACGGTTATAGGCACAACTCCTCATTTGCTGCCGGATAAAGAAAGTTTAACTGGCTGTAAGTGAAATAAAGAACACTTTTTTTTTAATTATTATTTTTCCCATAGCAATAACAAACATGGAATTAGAAAAAATAATCTTCTGTATACAAATAGTTCAAAAATTAAAGAATTAGTTTTGATAAACCTCATTTACAGTAGGCCTATAGTAAAACTATATATTCATCTCAAGCGTAATGCCTCCTCAAGTATTTCCTGCCCTGGGCCTCACAGCGTGCAGCTGAACTGGAACAAACCTGTTTATCGCTTTTTGTAATCCTTATGTAAAATTTAAAGAATTTCTGTTCCTCAGAGAAGTATTTCCTAATTCCTGAAAAAAATGAATTTACCTCAGTGGAGAAAGCCATTACAGCTCAGTTAGGATTCTTTACTAGACTGGACCTTTTTTTCTAAGGGAAATGAAATTTCTGTTGGCTTTTTATTATTCTAGTGAAACATGGGTGACTTTGAATACAGTTCTTACTGCAAATCAGTAGGGAAGCAATTTTACTTGGAAGGCGCTATGTAGAATGTTAACAGCAGTCATCCTGCCAAGAAAAGTGGCTTTTGTTGCATGTATTTCCACTTGTATGTTTGCATGTCTTAAATAAATACTGTACTCAGTGTATGACTTTTGAGACCTCCCCC